TAGGACTGTATCCCCAGACCCGACACTCAGGGCCAAAGCGGCCTCAGAGAAAACACCACCAGGAGCCCTAGGTTCGAGTCCAAATCTCACTATGTGTATGACCTTGGGCCAGTTAATTTCCAGGATCCTTCAGTCTATAAAGTGAGGCCAGCATCTTGGGGACTGTCATTTAAACGATGAACATGCTTTGTAAGCTGCAAATGCCTACGGAGAGCTTAGTACTGCTTTTAAAAAGGTTGGTTGGTCTGGCTGGAAACCGATGAGGCGTGCAAGGCATTGGAAGTAGAGTGGGGGACTCGCACCAGAGGTGTGGGGGCCACAGGGAGGGACTGAGGCAAGCTGCTGCCCAGTCCCCTCACTCCCACTTTTTCTCTTTTCTTCATTTGGTTGTACCAGGGGCTAACCAAGGAGGGGATCAGGCAGTGGGGCCAGCAGAGCAAGCAGGCCAGGGCCTTAGGGTGCCTGCAGTGTGGGCAGAAGGCAGGCAGGCCTCAGCAGCAGGGCCAAGCCGAGAAAGGGACGGTGGGTGCCAGGGCTGGCTACCAAACCCCCTCCAAGAGGCCCCTGAGCAGGGCGCTGGCTCTGCAGCGCCACCTGGGGGCTAGAGGGGGAACTGCGGATGGAAGGTGACCCCAGGCCCCAGAAGAAGGCGCAGGCATATCAACATTGGCTCTCCCTCGTAGCTATTTTATTTTCAGCATACTTCCGACCTGGTGACCCTCCACAGTCCAGCAGGAGAGAGGTGGGAGAAAGGAAGGTGTCAGCGTGTACCTGCACCCATCCCTAACTGAGGTCATCTCCTTGCTAAGAGTTAAACCTACACTGGCAAGGGTGACCTTCTGGCAGGAGGAAGTGTTCAGAGACCCCTGGAAAAGAGGCAGCCAAGGCCCCATGCCAGGGCAGGCAGGGGCTGCAGCTGTGGTCCAGCGTCAATCAGAACAGCCCAGGCCCTTCTCCCCTACAGCACTCCTCCCCTCCCTGCCGGCTGGGAGCTGGGCTCAGCGCCCCAGCAGCCGCAGCATCTCCTGAGGATCCAGCAGCTTCTCCCTGGGCTTTCCAGCGCCCTGGCCCCGGGACACCTCCTCGGCATCCAGCTTCTCCCAGTCCGAAAAAGAGATGGGCCAGACCCCTGGGGCAGAGGGAAGACGGGTCACCGCCTCCTCTTCCTCCTCCATCCCAGCCCAGAGCACGCCTTCCCGAACAGAGGAAAGGCCCAGGGGCCACCCACTCCCCTTCCCAGGAGTTCACACAGGGCTCAGACCTCGGCTGCTGAGCAGGGCCTTGATGGCCGAATAGCCAGGCCTGGGGCCAGACGGCAGCAGCCCTGCCTCCAAGTCCTGCAGCAGAGTCTGGCTGGTGAGGAAGCTGTCCGTCATGGTGGTGGTGATGACACCCGTGGGCCCCCGCTTCACCCAGCCACTGCAGTAGAGGCCTGGGAGAGGGTAATGAAGAAAAGGGGAGGTGGCTGGACACTAGCCTGGCAAGCCTGAGCCCCCATATATATGTGTGTACACACAGCAGTGTACCCTAAGTCCTCTGGGCCCACTGTGGCTGCTGGCCCACCACCCGGTTTTTCTCAACCTATTTTTACCATCCGATCTACCTTACACCTCAGTTTCCCTGTAGACCAGGAGCTGGGTCTTGGCTACCTCCAGTTTCAGCAGGGAATGTTTAGTGAAGGAATAGACAGGTGTGTGAGTATTTAGTCAGACTGGAAGCTCCCTGAGGACAGAGGCTGCTGTTTCATTTCCAAACCCAGCACTGAGCACAGGGCCAAGCCCAGAGCAGGCTTCATATGACTTCATAATCAGACATATGTGGGCATCTCAGCTAGACTGGGCACTTACTCTAGGGCCAGGAGGAAGGTGGGGC